TTAATTTATTCTTTAAAAAATGTTTAAGGTTTATTTATTTTTGACATAGAGACAGAGCATGAGCGGGAGAGGGGCAGAGAGAAGGGGAGACAGAATCTGAAGCAGGCTCCAGGCTCTGCGCTGTCAGCACAGAGCCTGACACAGAGCTTGAACTTGTTACCCAGGAGATCATGACCTGAGCCGAACTCAGACACTTAACTGAGCCACCCAGGTGCCCCAGTTTATTAATTTACTTTGCGACAGAGAAAGAGAGAATGCATGAGCAGAGGAGGGGCAGAGAGGGAGGAGAGAATCCCAAGCAGGTTTTCCCTGACAGGAGAACTCATGAACTGTGAGATCTCGACCTGAGCAGAAATCAAGAATCAACCAACTGAGCCCCGCCCTGAATGGCTCTTATGTGAATGGACACAGGTAATAAACGCTGCTGTGCATTGCTCCCCTGAGGAGTGGTAGGGAAGCATAGTTTACAAACCAGAAATCTGGGCACTGCCACCAACCAGCTGGAAAGTCCCTTAACCTCCCTGGGATTCTTCTTTTTTTTTTTCTTTAAATATTTTATTTACTTTTGAGAGAGAGATAGAGACAGCATGAGCAGGGGAGGCTCAGAGAGAGAGGGAGACACAGAATCTGAAACAGGCTCCACGCTCTGAGCTGTCAGCACAGAGCCCAACGCGGGGCTCGAACCCACGAACCATGAGATCATGACCTGAGCCGAAGTCGGACGCTTAACCGACTGAGTCACCCAGGCGCCGCAACCTCCCTGGGATTCTTATCTCTTCAGAGACGCCACATTCCTTCTCTGCTACAGATCTTTCTAGTGCTTCTCTGCAGGAGGAGGGTTGCAGGCTGCGGCCAGGGGTTAAAAGATAACCATGGTGTGGCCCTCGGCCAGCACGCTTCTCTGGCTCTCCGATGTCTCGCCGCTGGTTAGCCACTGAGTATCAGACAAGCAATCAGAGTTAAGGTTGTTTTGGGAACAAGGCAAACAGAGGCTTGAATGGCTCTGAGATCTGCTTGGTGCTTCTTTTGAATTTGCTCGGTTGAGAAGGTAGAGGGATTCTGAAACTCTGAGTTAGGGTGTTTGCCCAGCCAACGCCACTTCCCGAAATCCTTTAAGCTAAGACACCCACGCTGGGTGCAGACAACACACTCACTCTCCAGTCCAATATGCCACTTACGTGTCACGCGTTCCCTAAACTGGGCCCTCGGGAGATCCATCTTCTTGCCTTTCCTGTCCTCATCTCATGTTCTCCACGGGGGTCACCACCTGCACTCCCGTGTTACCCAAAGACCAGTGGCTAGCCAGCCCATCTTCTCTGGTCTGCACCCCTGTAAGCTGTCTATTACGTGGCCACTGGGGACCCCCCCTCTGAGGTCCCACGGGCACGTCCACCCGCCGTGTCTCACCTGTGCTCCTCACCCTCACTCCCGATTGCTCTCTTTCTCCGAGGTTCCTTGCGTGGTGAGTGGGAGCCTCACCAAGGCTACCCGGCGGGGGGGGGGGGTTCCTCCTGGACGCATCCCTGCAGCTCTCTGCTCATACCCCACCAAAAGCCGTCCATTGGCTTTGCCTTTCCATGTATTGTTCCTGTCCATGGTTTCCTCAGAGCACCACTTCCTTTTTCAAGCCAGCTTTTCTGTGGTTGTGTTCCCGTCAGAAAACACCCAAACCTTTAGGGTGACCTGCGAGGCCTGGCTGCCTTTCTAGCCTCTTGCCACTTTCCCCCATCTTTGTTCCCATCCTCCCGCCATCTTGAACTGCTTGCCATTTGGCCAATGGTTCACAGTCCCTACACTCTTCTCCAGGTAGAGCTTCTCCCCTCTCCTTGGGCCCCCCCCCCTTCCCCACCCCGGTCTCCTCTCCTTCCTTTTCACTCTTCAGGAGTTCAAGTAGTAGCATCTCCTCCTCTTTGGAGGCTTCCTTGGCCCTCTCATCCAGATCCGTGGCTCCTCTTAGGGGTTTCGATGGCATCCTGCAGCGACTAATGACCTCATTTAAGGTGCTCCTCCAAAGTGGGACGAGGTGAATATCCAGTCTCTGCTTCTGGCACCATGCCTGGCTCTCAGCATGTGGGATAAATAAACACATCTTATAAGTCAAAGAGAGACACTTTCTCAGAGTTTCCTTGGACTGGCAGTGGGATCTCAGTGTTTTATTGTATCTCACTATATTTATGCGACTTGCAGCAGGTGCAAATCCCAGTGGCTGTCCCCGGTTCCGACAAATCCTCGTGACTAGCTGAATTCTTACATTTCCATGCACTACCTGTCACCGGCTCCTCCACTTAGCCATGAGGAGTTGACCAATCGGCTGTCAGCCAGGGGCTGGTGACTGACAGGTTCCTGGGCATCTTTGCTAAGTTTAAGAAAAATGAGGCGGCTGGCGGAGTGTCGGCTGCCCACATACCGCGAGTCAAAGCTGATGCTTTCCCTCCGTATATTCACCTGTGCCTCCAGCAGAAGCAACTTGCATAAAGAAAGCACAAGGTGGAAGGGAGTGGGGCTGAGATCCGGCCATGATGGCGGATGGAAGGCCGTGAGGAGGCGTGGACGCAGTTACTCTGAGGGGCAATCCTTTATGTTGTTTCTGGAAAAATAATTGCAGAGGCAACCCGTCAGAAAGGAGACTGGTGGTCCCCTCCCCTGCTCCCCTCTGTATCTCATGGCACTTTGACTGCCATCAGATTAATGAAATCTTTCCAGTCCTGACAGAAAGGACAACCTCAAGAGGAAAAAAGTATGTTTGGGCACCGGATAAAAGATGAAAACAGTGTGAAGAAGCAAACCTGTTTCTATATAAGGGCTTAAATACTTGCCTTGTGCAAAACGTTGTGAGTTAATATGTTGGTCTCAGGGGTGTACTTTTTCTCCCTGAGTCTTTAGAGTGTTTTCCAGAATTGCAAAGGATACTTTGAAAACCATGTCTGAAATCTCAAGTGCACGAGTACGGTCAGCTCTGTGAGTGGAAGGGCCGAGAAAAGGGGAGGGTGTCCTGTGAGAGACGAGAAAGTTATTGCCTTCCAGTGTGAATGTGTAACGTGAATTAAGGGTGTTTTTTTCTTTTTTAAAGCTTGAGAACTATAATGCATTTAAAAAAAAAAAACTCTAATGATTTTTGGAAAGTTGAAGCAAAGTGAATTTGATTACTCTGATAATTAAAAAAGAATTCATTTGTTTAAACTATATTTATATATTTTTTCCAATGCAAAAAGTATAGGATTAATGAAACACAAATGATCGGCAGGCTTGGTGTAGAAAAGAAATCTGAATGGAAATAATTCCTTTCCATAGATAATAATATTTGACTTTAAATTTGGTTATTATAGTATTAAAGGACTCCACCTGTGTTAAGTAAAAGTTAAGTTAGATCTCACATCATTAAAGTGTTTTTTAATTTAATTTAATCACAATGTGTTCCATTATAAGCATTAATAAGTAGCTTATTTTAAGAATTATGCTTAGATGGGGCACCTGAGTGGCTCAGTCAGTTGAGCATCTAACTCAAGATTTCGGCTCAGGTTAATTCCAAGGTTGTGGGATCGAGCCCCGCATTTGGCTCTGTGCTGAGCATGGAGCCTGCTTAAGATTCTCCCTCGCTCTGGGGCACCTGAGACTTTGCCTCAGGTTGTGATCTCATGGCTTGGGTCATGATCTCATAGCTCAGGTCATGATCTCACAGTTCCTGAGTTCAAACCCTGCATCAGGATCTCTGCTATCGGCACAGAGCCCCCTTCAGACGCTCTGTCCCCTTCTTTCTGCCCCTCCCCCCATAAACAAACATTAAAAAGAAAAGATTCTCTCACTCTCTTTCCCTCTGCCCCTCTCCCCTGCTCACACATATTCTCTCTCTCTTAAAAAAAATTATTTTGGGAAAATGTGCTTGTCCACACCTTTTTAGGAGCACAGCTATCTGAATAGCAAATGATTTTCAAACAGACTTTCAGAATATTTTACAGTGGTATTATGCTTAGAGCTTGGATATTCTTATTGAAGATTATTCATTTTAAGATTCAACAGCACACAGAGTCTCTAAGATTAATGCGTGTCCTCAACTAGAATGTCCTTTCCCTATCCTTAGGAAGAAAATCCAGGCCAGGACTTCCAGGTCCCTGAGAAACATTTCATCTTTGTTTCTCGGGAGTACCTCTCAGTTCCTGGGTTCCAATCTTCCTTCGGCCACTTTTTAGCTGTGAGACCTTAGCTAAGTTACTTAACTTTTCTGTGTCCCACCTTCTTCATCCATAATTTGGGGATAAATAGTCTTTTCTTCATAGGTTCATAGGTTTGCTGGAAGATTAAACCCATTTATGCAAAGTTTTAGAACAGTTGATGAGAGGCGCCTGGTATCTCCTCAATAGATATGAGCAACCACACTGTCGATATTGGAAAACTCTCACTCTTTTCTGAAGAATCAGCATGAATGTAGGGGGGAGGGCTTAGTTTCGCAACATCTTTTTAGTGCAGGCACTCAGACTCTGTAGTAGAGCAAATCCTTTTTGGTGAACAGTCCATATTACTTATCTAAAATGCACTCTCTTCAATGCCCTAGTAACAGTTGTCCTGAACAAAATAAAAAGACAAAGGGGCGGGGGTGGGGGTGGATCCTGGCGAGGGAACAAGTTTTGAGAATTGTTTTAAAGCAGTCATTGTATTCAGGTGGCCTGGCAGTGTACTGTAAACAGGGAGAGACGCAGGGAGGAAATCAGAACCCATTGTGGGCCTGTGAAATGGATGTCTTTTCAACTAAACAGATTGCTATCAGCCCAACAGAGCCGACTCCTATTCCTTTCTGCCCGGTCATTTCCTTTCCTGAGTGTCTGTAAGAACCACCCACTTGGGTGTTTCTCAGGATTATAGGTTTTTAGGTCAAACAGAAAGCCGAGGGAGTGCCTGGACAAGCCAAACACGCAGTGACGTTGTGCGCGAGCTGGATGACATTGACCCCGCTGTGGTTGTGCCCCGATTTGCGTGGATTGTCTCCCCAGCGGCTGCCGGCAGCCAGGAGCACAGGTTAGGAGCTCTGCTCTGAAAGGGGGGGTGCGGGTTTCCTGATGGGCTGTTGGCTCTGATGAGACCCACCCCTTCGTCATTCACCGCAGAAGCTTGACCGGTGGGCCCCCCACCACGCTCGCTTCCTTTGTCCTCAGTCAGTCCAGAATGGATGAGTCGCCAGAGCCTCTGGCCATGACCGTCCACCTCCTGGCCAGCTCCGGGCACGGCTCGCTGCTGCAGCAAACTCTGGACCAGCTCCTGGACTACGTGTGCCCAGACGTCCGTCCCTTTCTGGTGTCGGAGGCGATCCGGCCAGCGAAATACTACGACAGGTGCCCCTCCAAGCGCTCGCGGTTCCCCGGGATGTCTGTTTTGCTCTTCCTGCACCAGAGCCTCGGAGAGGAGCGGCTGTTCCGGGTCCTTGACTCCCTCCAGCGCTGGCCCTGGCAGTGCTACCCGGCCCCCAAAGCGCCAGGGCGACCGTGCCCCTACATTCTCGCCAACCAGGACTTCTACAGTCTGGACAGCCAGATGCCCGTCTGGGGCGTGAGGCAGGTGCACTGCGGGGCCGAGATCCTGAGAGTGACGCTCTACTGCAGTTTTGACAACTATGAGGATGCCATCAGGCTCTACGAGCTGATTCTGCAGAAGGATGCCACCTTGCAGAAGAGTAACTTCTGTTTCTTTGTGCTCTATGCCGCCGAGAGCTTTGCGCTGCAGCTCTCCCTGAAGCAGCTGCCCCCTGGAATGTCAGTGGACCCCAAAGAGTCTTCAGTGCTGCAGTTCAAGGTCCAAGAGGTTGGCCAGCTCGTGCCTCTTCTGCCCCATCCGTGTGTCCCCATCAGCCGCACCAGGTGGCAAACCCAGGACTACGATGGTCACCAGATTCTGCTTCAGGTATTCTTGTTTTGCCCCCGATCTTTGTAGATGCACATGGACCTGTGGGATTTTATGTCTGAGATGGCCCTTAGTGACGATTTGAGGCAGTGGTTCTCAACCTCAGTTGCACGTCAGGATCCCCGGCGAGCTTGGCTTGCAAAATGTCCCATGCCGCAGCTGCGCCCCAGTTCATGGAGACTGGCGTCTTTGGGGTGCCCTGGATGACTCAAATGTGTAGCGTGTGTCTAGGGTGAACGTTAGTGGGCTAATAAAATCCCCTCATCTAACAGATAAGGGAGTTCAAGCTCCATGAGCTTGTAGCTTATACAAGATTATCCTTTAAAACTGCATGCAAATATTTTGCCCCCTCTTGGGGTTCAGAAATAGTGTAAACTCCTGGGGTGCCAGAGTGGCTCAGTCAGTTAAGGGTCCAACTTTGGCTCGGGACATGATCTCCAGGTTCTTGAGTTTGAGTCCCGCCTTGGGCTCTGTGCTGACAGCTTGGAGCCTGGAGCCTGCTTCATATTCTGTGTCTCCCTCTCTCTCTACCTCTTCCCCCTTTGCGCTCTGTCTCTTTCTCAAAAAATAAATAAACATTTAAAAAATAATAAAAAAAGAAATAATGTGAACTCCTTCCATCTGACCTAAGGAAGCTGAATGTGTAATTATGGTTGAGGATGTTAAGTTTGAAGTCCTGTTGACTCAATATTTTTCCTGTTGACTTATTTATTTATTTTTTAATTTAATTTGAGAAAGAGAGAGAACGCATGCACACACGTGAGTGGGGGAGGAGCAGAAGGAGAGAGGACCTCAAGCAGGCTCTACATTTGGCATGGTGCCCAACACGGGGTTCAGTTCTACAGCCTTGGTGATCACGATCTGAGCTGAAATCAAGAGTCAGATGCTCAACTGACTGAACCACCCAGGTGCCCGTTGAAAACACTACTGTTGACTTCATTTTTAAGCACCTTGTAATACTGTCAGATTCTACCCCAAATCAAGCTAGATGGTTTGAACTTTTAAAAGAAAATCTTGATATGAAAGCCTTCTGTAAGCATCCTCTGTAAGCCAGACACCATCCTGATGGCGGCCATGTAGGTCTCTTGTGGAATATTCTCTGCCAGGTGAGCCTTGCACCTAGGAGCTGCCTGGCTTCACCTCGGTTTCTTCATTAGCAACAACGAGGGTAATATCAACATCTTCCGAGAATATGGGTTGTCATCCTCATGAAATGCCTTAACACTTAATGCCCACGATGCAATTCTAGCTGTTATTGTCTGTTACGACCTAGACTAAATGTATTACATTGATTACCTCAATGTAACAACCTAAGAAATCACTATTTTTCCCATTTTGCAGATGACACAACGGAGCGGGAGAGATTCTCAGTTAATTGCCTATGACACAAGGCAACTCAATTACCTGTTCTCACCCAGGGCTCTGTGGGTGTGCATGCTCGTGAAAGTGTGTGCAGCCAGACATGATAGTTACAGCTAAATGTTCTGTGGCTTCTGTCCTTGAGAAATGGTCAGAAACCCCTTTAAGGCCAACTGGGTAAAGTAATAACAGGATACAAAACAAAAAGTCTTTCCCACTGATTAATTTTGTTGTCATCAGCTTTGAGCTATTAATAACATATGAATCATATTGATTCGGTGTTAAAAGATTTCTAAATTATTTACCTTCTTGTTCACCGAAGGCGGACAGGCACTTTTCTGTCAGTTGCCTTTTAATTAACTGAGCAGTTTCCAAGGCATCTAAAGTTTCTACTTCAGCCCTGGTTAATCTCCAGAATTTAATATCAACCTCGCTATTCAACAAACATTTAATATGTGTATGCTGCAGGGGCACATTTTTTAACTGTTCTTATTTTCAAGATTAACCCAACCAACTTGGATCAGATTCTCTTCTCTAAACCAAGTATTGCATCCAAGGGAATGGGATCACGTGGGTTAGTATAGTTCTGAGCTAGAGGCTCGACTCTCCATGCCTGGATTTTCTGTGAAGTCAGACCCTCCTGGGACACACAGGGGAGGGCAAGCCCCCCCTCCCACCCCGTGAAGATTGGAGGGACACAAATGCCTTGGTGGCCCAGATGACTGATGTTGACCGAAAGAAAGGAGATAATACCTATTCAAGGGAGAACCGTAACCGCTAATTAACCTCTCCACAAATAACCCTTCCTCAGGGCCAGAATGGATGTGAGTGTGGGCGTGCTAGACCCGGGGAGGGCGGGCGATGGGCAAATCTTCCTGAGGAGTGAGACCTGGGCCTGCTTGAGCCGGACAGCCCGGAAGGAAGGAGCCAGACGGAGAAGGGAGGAAGGTGTTATAAAGAGGAGAGATCGTGGGTGACAGTGTGTGATGTGCCATATCCTTAGCAGGACATGTTAAAAAAAAAAAAAAACTGCCTGAGGTTCTATGTGGCTGGGGTGAAGAGGGAGGGTCAGGGGAAGAAGACGAGCAGGTGGGTGGGACCACATCACCAGGAATATGGTCAACGCTTATCAGGAAGGTGAGCGCCATCAGGACAGGGACCTCTTTGTCTTCCCAGTAGTTAGAGCAGCGTCCGCCACATGGTAGGCGAATATGCTCTCAGGTGAAGGGACGAGAGTCTGGCTTTCTATTCTATCCCTATTGTAATCAGCAGTTGCCGATGGAGCCTGGGAGAGGTACTGACCTGTACAATTTCTTAGGAGGATCAGAAGAGAGAATATAAATGGAGGTGCTCTGTAAAGTAGACGTTGCAGGAGACCGTGCGGAAGCAATGCGTCCTTGTCTGTGTGTATAAGGAAGCCACTAGCTGTCTTGCCAGAGGCACACAGTGAACAGCTGTTTTCCCACCTGACCTGTCAGTGCAGACTGTCTGATGCTTCTCAGAGCCTAGAATGTGCATTTTTGAGGAGAGTGATATAAAAGTTCATAGCAGGTGCTCAGTAAATGAATGGATGTGTCAATAAAGGATCAACTATGTCCATGCTGATTCACCCACCAGATGTTTTCTTTTTTTAAAGTTTATTTATTTTGAGAGAGAGGGAGAGAGAGAGAGACAGGGTGAGCAGTGTAGTGGGGAGAGAGAGAGGGACACAGAGAATCCCAAGCAAGCTCTGCACGGTACCATGCGGGGAGCCCAAGGAAGGGCTCGAACCCATGAAACCGTGAGATCATGACCTGAGCCTAAATCAAGAGTTGGACGCTTAACCGACTGAGCCACCCAGGTGCCAGTTGGTCAACAAATACTCTTACTGATTGCCTACCCTGGGCCAGACTCTGTTTAGGCCCTGCTCTCCATTTGTCTTAGTTCTTTTATTTGTTTATTTATGTATTTATTTATTTAAAATACGTTTTTTAATGTTTATTTATTTTTGAGAGAGAAAGACAGCCTGAGTGGGGGAGGGGCAGAGAGCAAGGGAGACACAGAATCTGAAGCAGGCTCCAGTCTCTAAGCCGTCAGCACAGAACCCGAAGTGGGGCTTGAACCCAAGAAATGTGAGATCATGACCTGAGCCAAAGTCAAACGCTTAACTGACTGACCCACTCAAGTGCCCCTTACTTTGGATTTAATATGCTTTTTTTTTTTTCGAGTTTCCTAAGGTGGGGACTTAGATTATTGATTTGAGGTAGAGGGTGACACAGAATCCAAAGCAGACTCCAGGCTCTGAACTGTCAGCACAGAGCCTGACATGGGACTTGGACTCACCAACGGAGAGTTCATGACCTGAGTCAAAGTTGGATGCTTAACCGAGCCACCCAGGCGCCCCTGGTATTATTATATTAAACAAACTTTTTTTGTTAGATCAACTATGAATGAGATCTTTCTGATCTTTATTATTTTGCTTCTCCCCAAAGAACTTTTAATGTTTCTTGCAAAGCAGGCCTACTGACATACAAATTCCTTCAATTTCTGTTTGCTTATGAAAGCCTTTATTTCTGCCTCATTTTTGTAGGAGAATATCACATGGTACAAAATTCTAGCTTGGTGGCTTTTATTTCTCTCTCACACTTTAAATATTTCACTCCATTCACTCTTCTTGCTAGCATGTTTTGAAAAAGTGGATGTGACTCTTATCTTTATTTTTCTGATATCTTTTGGGATTTTTTTCTTTATCTTTGATTTGTGTAGTTTGGAAAATAATCTGTCTAGGTGTAGCTTTTAGGGGATTTTTGTGGTGGTGTTCTCTGAGCTCCCTGGATTTGCGTTCTCATGCCCGACATTAATTTGGGGGAAATTCTCAGTCACTGTTGTTTCAAATATTTCTTCTGTTCCTTTCTCTGTTTCTTGCCTTATGGTGTTCCTACTATGCATATGTTACACTTTTTGTAGCTGCCTCATAGTCCTTGGATATTCCGTCTGGTTTTCTGTCTTTGTTCTCTTTGATTTTTACGTATTTATTTATATTGAGAAAGAGAGAGAGGATGTGTGCAAGCAGGGGAGAGGCAGACAGGGAGAGAGAGAATCCCAAGCAGGCTCTGGGCTGCGGGTGAACACATGAAAGCATGAAATCATGATCTGTACCAAAACCAAAAGATCAGAGATTCTTTCCTTAGCTGTGTCTAGTCTACTGGTGAGCCAATCAAAGGCATTCTTTATTTCTATTTCAGTGTTGAGTTGTTGTTTTTTTAAATTTCTAGTGTTTCTTTCTGGTTCTTTCTTAGGACTTCTGTCTCTTTATCTTGCTCAGCTTGTTTTGAGCATATATTATTCTTGCATGCTGTCTACTTTATCCATTACAGCTTTTAGTACATTAGTCATAGTTATTTCAAATTCCTGGCCTGAAAATTCCAATAGCCCTGGCATACCTGGCTCTGATGTTTACTCTGTCTCTTCAAATTGTATTTTTTGGGGCACCTGTGTGGCTCAGTCAGTTAAGCATTTGAGTCTTGATTTTGGCTCCGGTCATAAGCTCATGGTCGTGGGTTTGAGCCCTGAGTCAGGCTCTGTACTGAGTGCGGAGCCTGCTTAAGATTCTCTCTCTTTCTGTCTCTCTCTCTCTCCCACTGCCCCTCTCCCACTCATGC